GTGTCCGGACGGGCCGCCTGGGCCCGGGGGCCTCGCTGCTGCGGCGCCACCTGCTGGGCACGGACGCGCTCTCCGCAGCCGCCTGTCGGTCCCTTGCGGGGGGCGGGGGCCGGGTTGTGGGATGAGCCGCCGTCCTTTTTTCACCCTGTCCGAGGGCGAGCTCCTCGACCCATCCAGGAATTCTTAGTCCGTTCACTCACTTCCTTCACATTTTACGTGCCTGGCTCAGGGCTGGGCACTGGGGACATCTAGGTGCGTAAAACCAGGTCGCAGTACAGGTGCTTAAGACAGGAGAGAGACAAACCAGCAAGAGCGGGCGACAGATAATCGATTCAGCACCTGCTGGATACCAGGGCAGTGTGCTCTGTGCTGTGCGGCCGGTCTGTTACAAGGGCCGTGGAGCCAGTGGGGGAAGGAGAGGGCACCTTGGGCTGGATGTTGAAGGTGCAGAAATTCCCAGGGGGCAGCCGGCTTGGCCAGGAGAGTAAGCTGTTATCTCCTGGGTCAGGCCAACCTGGGCACCTGCTGGGAGAGTCAAAGATGGTGTATGTACGAGAGACGAGGTGCAGGTGAAAGGCTGGAGAAGCAGGCACCTGAAGAACTGTTTGATAAAAGTGGAATGACTGTGGGCTTTGGAGCCAGACATCTGGGTTCTAATTCCAGCTGTGTGGCTTTGGGTAAGAATCTGAACCTCTCTGAGTTTCCAGGTCTCACCCTTTGTGAAATTGGGCTAGTGCCTACTTGGCAGGGTTGCTGGGAAAATTTCAAGAGAAAATGTGTATGAAAGCACTTAGCATAGTTTCTGGCACTGGGAGCATCCTAAAAGTAAATTTTCTGAATTTTCTGAAAAGTAAAGAGGAGGCTGCTGCTGGAAGGGGCAGACACACTGGGAGGTAAGTATGGAAAGCAGCAGGAAAGTTTTGGCCTCCGTGAACTAGAAACTGATGTGCCTTTTGGAACCCAGCTGTTTTTATTTCTTGCGTCAAGCTCCAGCATGCTAGATCTGGCCCAGCCCATCAAGGAAGCCCCAGGTTCATCTATTTAAAAAAAAAAAAAATTGGGTTGGTTTTGGCTTGGGCAGTGGAATAACAGGATGTGGGATGATAGCTAAAGGGTATGGAGTTTCTTTTTAAGGTGATGAAGATGTTTAAAATGGACTTTGGGAAACAAATGTAACATTGTGTGTCAACTATACTTCAATGAAAAAAATTGACTTACGGGTTGATTGCACATATCTATGAATATACTAAAAACCATCAAATAGGATACTTTTAATGGGTGAATTGGATGGTATGTGCAATTTTATCTTAATAAAGCATTTATTGTTTTAAAGATTTTATTTATTTGAAAGAGTGAAAGAGCATGCACAAGTTGAGGGGGAGGGGCAGAGGGAGAGGGAGAAGCAGACTCCCCGCTGAGCAGGGAGCGCAATGCGTGGCTGAATCCCAGGACCCCAGATCGTGACCTGAGCTGAAGGCAGATGCTTAACTGACTGAGCCACCCAGGAGCCCCAGCTTTTATTGTTTTAAAAGGAATACTTCTTGCTGGACTAATCTGACAACAATGTGAAAAAGCAATGAGTATACCTTCAAAAAAAGAATTGGGTTGGTATCTCAAAGGGATCAAATGAGGATTAAATTAAGTAGATAATGCACGCCAAAGTGCTTAGCACTATCGTGACAAGGAATGCGAGGTCTGAAAGTGCCTCGTCCTTTCTCCATCCCAGAGCGGCTGCCAAGAGAGCACGCCAGCAAGAGACGAACCAAAGAAAACAGAGAAGCTCTTTATGCCAAATCACAAAGACAGACGGGAGTGTGGGGGAAGGGCAGGGAGGGCCTGGGAGGACCCCCAGTCCCTTATTCACAGGTTTAGATGTTGTTCCATCTGCTCTCGAAGTTTGAATTTCTGGATCTAGAGGAAAAAGAACAGAGTGAGAGCCAGGCTCGGGGCCTCTGCCAGCAACAGTGACCAGCTGGCTTGGTTTGCCTGAGACTGGGGAGTTTTTTAGGGTAAAGCCAGGAAAGTTTGGGACAAACAGGGATGAGCTACTTGGTCACCCTACTGCCAGCCTCTGGACAGACTCTTTTGCCCACTGCTGAGGGATGATGCATAGGTGGGGCCACCTAGGCCTTCTGGGAACCTAGGACCCCAGGCCACCCTGCCCCTCTCTGGTCCCTTTACACACCTTTCCTGAGACGGTGAGGGGGTAGTTTGTGACAAACACGACATATCGGGGAATCTTGAAGTGGGAGATCTGCAGACCAGAGGGAGATAAAGCGTGAGGCTGGGCGAGGTCATAGGTTTAGGGAGATGGGGTGCAGGTGAAACCTGGGACAGTGGGAACGTGGGTGGGCTGGCTGGCAGGGAAAGGGGGCTGAAGAACGAAATAACATCAGCTTGGGGCGGGTTGAGGCTCCCACCTTCCCTTTGCAGAAAGCCTTGATCTCCTCCTCCGTAGTCTTTTCTCCCTTCTTCAGGCGAATGCAGGCACAGACTTCCTCCCCCATCCGGTCATCCTTCACTCCCACCACCTTCCCGAGCCAGAGACATGTATTAGATACTGCCACGCCCATCCCCGGTTCCTGTTCCTGGGGACTCACCTGGGCTGGGTGCCTCACCTGCACTTCCTGCACCTGCGGGTGTGTGTGGAAGAAGTCCTCGAGCTCCGCGGGGTAGATATTCTCGCCGCCCCGGATGATCATATCCTTGGAGCGGCCGACGATCTTGCAGAAGCCCTGCTTGTCCATCACAGCTATGTCTCTGTGAGGAAAGCCCAGGAATGGCCTCCCACCTCTGCTTCCTCTGACTGGCTCGCTCCCTTATTCGTCAAACATTTATTGAGCACCTACTGTGTGTCTCGCACTGCTCTAGAGTCTGGGGGATATGGCACGAACAAGACATTCTGTAGATATGCTTTTCATGGAGGGTTTCTTTTTTTTTTCTTTTTTCTTTTTTTTTTTAATCAATCGGGTCTCAGTTCAAACATGTCCACCTTACAGAGGCTTTCTCTGATCACCCCCCCAGTCTAAGAGAAGTGCCCCTCTCCACCACTGACACTTTCTTTCCTCTGACCCTATTTGACTGTCTTCATGGTGTTTAGACAGGTGGAGAGTAAGAGCAGGACTCTCCTCCTCTTGCCTCCCCTCGGACCGCCAGTGTCCAGAACTAGCGCTGGCCCTGGGAGGCGCATGATGAGAACGTGTTCAGGGGACAGATGAGTGAGTCTTGGCTCAGATTTTGCAGACACCGTTCTCCCTGTTGTAGTTTAATGTCTCCAGCTCAGCTTCAGGCCACCCGGCCCCAGCCCACCCCCGCCGGCCCCACCCTCTCCGAGGCTGCTTCCTCACCCTGTCCGATACCACTTGTCCTGTCCAATCGTCTCCTTGGTCTTCTGGGGCTCGCCCCAGTAGCCCAGCATGACGCAGTACCCTCGGATGCACAGCTCTCCGGGCGTGTTCAGCTCCACCAGCGTCCCTGTCTTCATGTTCACAATCTGGGCCTGGGACGAGAGCAGCCTCAGGCTGGGGCCTCCTGCCTCACCTCAGGAGGGAGGGGGGGCCCTCGGGGATGGGGGCGGGGGCGGGAGCTTTGCTTTTCCATCCCCTGGCTCTGCGCATCCCGATCCAGGGAAGGGGGCGGATCCCCCAGCAGCCAGACACGTGAGCTGGGCTGGAAGAAGGGTGCAGGCAAGGAGGTGGGGAGGGGAGGAGGGGGCGGCCGCTGGTGCAGAGGACGAGGCCTGTGGAGGGCCAGGCCAGCTGAAGAATTACAAACTCTGCAGAAGAGAAGGGAGTCTCCTCCTATTTCCCATCAAGCAGTGACTAAGGAGGCCGGGGAGCTGGTGTGGCAGGGCCATGGGGACAGGAGAAGGCAGAGAGGCAGAGTCGGAGAGCCCTAGCACAGAAAGGAGCCACAGCCAACGTGCAAGGAAAGCCTGGTCTGTGTGCCTCGGGGGCTGCATCTGGGAAATGGGGCGAACTCCGCTTGCCCCTGTCTACCTCGCAGGTGGGCACCCCGGCTAGTGGCAGTGACTGTCAGACACCAGGGAAGGGGCTAATGCCACTGCACCCTCACCCCATGGAGCGGGGCAGGAGCCGTCCGCCCCAGGATGGTGGCGAGCCTCCGGGGAAGGGCTGCGTGGGCAGTGACCCCAGAAGGGCCAGGGCACGAGGAGGCAGGGGAAACCAGGTGCAGGCTGGCATCAAGCACCCGTGTTGGGGCAGGCAAGCAGCCACGGCTGGGAATTTCAGAGGGAGAGATGCTCTGGGTCAGCGTTCAAGGTGCAAGGGGCCCTCCGAGGGACGGGCTGCTTGGGAAATGGAGTGTTTATGCCAAGCAAACAGAGGAGCTCTGCGGAAGGCGGGGCGGAGCAGGGGGTAGGCTATGGGAGAGAAAGAGCTATGTAGGAAAAGTCTCTGCTCTGGCTCCTCTTTGAGGCTGTCCTGGCTGCCCTGAGACAGACAGTGGGGCTTGGCAAAAACACACCTCAGACAGGAAGAGAGGCTGCAGGGTTCAGCCGGCGGCTGCTCACGGCCAGTACCCCAGCTCTTCCCTCTCAGGCCTCAGCCCACGGGAAAAGCCCCAGGCCAGGCCCAAGGAGGACCCCGCTGCTGGGCTGCCGGGGGCCTCTCAGCACCTCGAGGGAGTGTACGGCTCTCTAATTGAAGGCAATAAACGTCCCCAGGGAATGCACCCAAGTTGAGTGATAGGAGGTGGGGTCTGAAGGGCTGGGGCTGGGGCTCACCTCTGTGTGAGGCATAATTCTGCCCACACTTTCTGCCTTCTGCTCCACAGTGTCCTCGGTAAAGTTCATGAAGGTCACAGGACTATTCTCAGTGGTTCCGTAAGCCACCTAGAGGATTGGGGGAGGGTGTTTGGAGGGAGCCCCGGGGCTGCAGAGGGGAGGGCGAGCTACCCTGGGGGAATGGGAAGGGACCCAGGAGAAAGTGGAAGGCAGCTGAGTGGTGGGAACTGAGGCATTTGGGCAGAGGGCAGGGGTCCGGAGGCAGAGGCACTGGGGTGCTCAGCTGACTAGCTCAACTAGCAGGGTCCCAAGGTCTGAATTAAAATTGAGAGCAGGGAAGCCATTCTTTTCCAGCCAGCGCCGTTTCCCTGCTTCCTGGACCAGCCACATGCCCGAGCCTGTGGTTCCCTGTGTTACCGATGCCCTTGCCTTCACTCCCTCAGCCCCAGGCGGTCTTAGCACCCTCTTCCTGATCTCAGACCACAACATCCCCTGACCCTCCCTTCCAAACTAAAGGTCTCATAAATTTGATGAGAAAGCCAGCCCACCTGGGCCCAGCTGGGAAATGTACAGATACAACCCACCCACCCACCCGAAACCTGGGATCAATGCCTGGCCTTGGGGTGGGTGATCCCCAAGCTTTGGAGAGTTTCCTGTAAATTTACCTCCATCAAAATGCAAAATGTAGCCAAAGCAACGGTTTAAAAGCCAGTGGCACCCTCACCACCTAACACTCCTAGTGGTTGGAACATCCTGAGCAACAGAAAACCAGAAGCCAGCCATGGAGGAGCCTTAAATACCACCAGGGAATGTTCTGAGCCAACTATGACCCCCCTCTAGAGGCAATGGGTGAAAGGAGCTTGGAGAGGGACTAGCTCCTGATCAGCAAAGACAACAGACCTTTGTCCACCCTCCACCCCACCCCCAGTTTCCTCTGTGTTAGCTGGCACACTGCTGGGGGCTAGCCCCGCCCCTCCCCCTCTCAAACACAGACAACAACCCCTGCTGGGCAACCCAGAGCTCAGACCCTGCCTGCCCTCCCTTCCCCTTTCCACAGGAATCCGGACACCGTGGCTGGCAAGTGGACACACAGAGATCTGGTCAGCCGCGGCAGGACTGCCCACAGGACCAGAGCCAACCAGGGCTGGTCCCTGGTAGCCAGGACCTGACACCGCCCCCCACCCCCCATAGTCCTGGGGCCACTGCCCAGGTGTGGCCTCTGCCAAGTACACCTTGGCGCCGCTCTGGCCGCCACCCTGAGAGACCCCTCAGGGGCAGGTCTTGACCACTGGGGGTGGGGGATGAGGAGATGAAGATATTTTAGGGAGATGAAGGGTGGGGAGAGGGGTGGGAAGGGGGGAGATGGTGCGACTGTGCTCTTTCAGTTGTCCCACTCGGGGCCTGTGGTCGTCAGGTGTGTCCGTGAGTTCTGCGGGTCGACCCCCACTCCCCGCCCCTGTTCCCACATTTCTGGTTAGCCTTCAACCGTGGAAAAACGGGACAGGAGTGCCGGGGCCAGAAACTCAAGCCCGGGGCAGGGAGAGAGGGGCGGCGGAGTAGCCCCTGCGACGACGGGGAAGGAGCGCCCATCTCCTTAGGGTTGGCCCGCTGTCCAGCCGGAAGGGGGAGCCCGCCGCCACCGCGGCTCTCACGCTCGGCGGGCGCCGCACAACGGAGCCATTAAAGCGCCGCCGGCCGGCCGACCGCGGCGAGACTCGCGTCCGGCCGTCCGGCCCCGCTTCCTCCCTCCCCGGGGCCAGGGCGCCGCGCCGAGTGTGCGGGGGGGGGGGGGGGGGGGGGGGGGGGGGGGGCGGTGGCATGGGGGCGCGAACTTGTGCAAACAAGTAAGTTCGGGAACGCCTCCCTCTCCGGTGTAAACTCGGGGCTCTGGAGGCACCCGTACGTCCAGCCCCCAAAGGATGGGGAAAGGAGGTGGGGGATCGGGAGGGAGGCAGGATCGGAGCGCGGGGAGAAAGGGGGCCGGGGCTCCGGGACGAGGCCCCGGGGAGTCACGGCCCCGGGGCCCCCGCACGGTCCCCAGCTGGGGGCAGGGCCCCACCCCTCCCGGTCGAGGGCGGGGGCGCATCTCTGGGCGGGAGGGAGTTAAGCCCAGTGGCCTGGATGCTCCACGTAGGAGCTGGCTCCAGCTGCCGGCTGCGGTCAGGGCCACCGTATAAAGAGGGCGGGAGCCCGGAGCGCCGAGAACTTGCCGCTGCCCGCGCCCCGCCGCCACTGCCCCCCAGGCCCCGGCCCCAGGTGTCCCAGCCATGGCCCGGCCGATGCTCTTGCTCAGTCTCGGCCTCCTGGCCGGCCTCCTGCCGGCGCTGGCCGCCTGCCCCCAGAACTGCCACTGCCACGGCGACCTGCAGCACGTCATCTGCGACAAGGTGGGGCTGCAGAAGATCCCCAAGGTGTCAGAGAAGACCAAGCTGCTCAACCTGCAGCGCAACAACTTCCCGGTGCTGGCCGCCAACTCGTTTCGGGCCATGCCAAACCTCGTGTCGCTGCACCTGCAGCGCTGCCAGACCCGCGAGGTGGCGGCCGGCGCCTTCCGCGGCCTCAAGCAGCTCATCTACCTGTACCTGTCCCACAACGACATCCGCGTGCTGCGCGCCGGCGCCTTCGACGACCTGACCGAGCTCACCTACCTCTACCTGGACCACAACAAGGTGACCGAGCTGCCCCGGGGGCTGCTCTCCCCGCTGGTCAACCTCTTCATCCTGCAGCTCAACAACAACAAGATCCGCGAGCTGCGCGCTGGCGCCTTCCAGGGCGCCAAGGACCTGCGCTGGCTCTACCTCTCTGAAAATGCACTCAGTTCGCTGCAGCCCGGCGCTCTGGACGACGTGGAGAACCTCGCCAAGTTCCACCTGGACAGGAACCAGCTGTCCAGCTACCCCTCGGCGGCTCTCAGCAAGCTGCGGGTGGTGGAGGAGCTGAAGCTGTCCCACAACCCCCTGAAAAGCATTCCTGACGGTGCCTTCCAGTCTTTCGGCAGATACCTGGAGACCCTCTGGCTGGACAACACCAACCTGGAGAAGGTGAGCTGCTGGCCGCAGGGCTCTGCCCTGGCTCCTCTTCGGCCTCGAGGCGCCGCGGGTCTGGGGCCACGGCTGGGCACCATCCCTTCTCCCCTAAAATTGCTTCTGTCTCTCTGGCTAGCTCCAAGGTGAGGAGCTCTGCCACCTCTGTCCCTCATCTTGCCTCATCCGCACCCTAAAGCCTGCCCTGCTGGCCCTGTCCCTGGTCTAAGCCACTGCCCTCCGAGGCTTCCCACTTATAGACGGAGCTGGGGCTGCCCTGGCCCCAGCGATGGCCCCTAGGAGGCATGTCCAGTGCTCCCGAACCCCCTGCTGTGGGCAGGAGCCCCCTCTTCCTGTTGGGCCGTCCATCCCTCCTCTGCTGTATTTTTCCTGTCTCCAGTAAACCTACCACCCCATAAAGGAAGGTTTGTTTATTGAGAAGTTTTCCAGAGGAGCTGGGCAAATCAGGCCCACAAAGAGACCCTGTTCTTGGTGGGGGGGTGTCCATGTGTGCTGAGGTGGGGTGGGGGGCTGGGGGGTGAGGGGAAAGCAAACAGCCGAGGAAGAAGACCTCCTCCATGTCCCCCAGAGGCCCTGGCGAATGTCCTCCCTCTTCCCCAGCTCACACACATCCACACCGCACTGCATTCCCAGGTCCATTTCAGCTGAGTGGGGCCCAGGAACCAGGGGCTTCCCCAGGTTGCAGGGAGGGCACTCAGGGGCTCCATGAAGGGGCAAAGGCGAGAGCCACATAGCACTGTCAGCCTTTGGCACAAGACTCCAGGTGTCTCCCCACGGGGAAGACTGGCTGTGCCTCACTATCCCCCAGACCACTGATGGCCCTTTGCCCACCCTGGTCACCAGACCCATCTCCCGGCTGCAGCCTTGCTCAGTCCTTTCTGCCCTGTGATACCCAGATGGGGCTGCCCGGGGTTGGGGCGGAATCCCTCCTCGGGACTGGAAAATCACTCTGTGTACAGGGGCTTCGGCCAGGAGGTTTGGGTGGGGACCAGGACAAGGTGTAGAAGACCGTCATCAGAACAGTCTGGTTCCAGGGAACTTCACACCCCTCCCTGAGCCACAGGCACAGGGATGAGGGCAGAACCATACCTGGATGGCAGCCAACCTTTGTCTGGGGGGGGGTGGAGCCCACCCGTCTTCAGCCCCGGGCCCCTCCAGAGATAAAGTCAGAGTTCCCTGTGGCCCACCAGTGCCAGAGTGGCCTTTTAGTGGGGAGCAGGGACTGATCTGGGGCAGGGGAGGCCAGGCAGGACTGTGATGCTGGGGCCAAGATGTGGGCACCAAAAGAATGTTTCCTCTGGAGCCATCCAGCCTGGCCAAAGGCTCCACCAAGGAGGCTCCACAAATAGCCTCTGGCAAGCAGTGAGGATAGAGCTGGGGGAAGTCCCAGGACCCTGGGGCTGCGGGGAGCCTGGGCCCATTGCCCACCCCACCAAACACTGACCAGCTTCACCGGGTGCCAACTCGGGCCGCTGGAGCCCAACTCTGGCTGCCTCCCTGGTCCCAGTGTTTGTGCAGGGAGCGTGGTGCCAGGGGAAGAGGAGCTGGGTGTGGTCCTGCCGCTACTGTTTACTTGCTAGTGTGACCCTGGGAAGGAGACTTGACAACCCCCTCCCGCCCCCTCTCCCCCGCCCCATCTGCATTTTGGAAATACAAGCACCTATCTCAGTAGGATCAGATCATCTGAGACAACCTAGTCACGCTGAAACTCCTCAAGGAGCCACTGCCCTCTGGGACCATAGGGCTGGGAGAGGCTGGACCCTGGGGCTGGGGGGCTCACTCCTGTCTGCCTCACTCCCCAGTTCTCGGACGGTGCCTTCCTGGGTGTGACCACACTGAAACACGTCCATCTGGAGAACAACCGCTTGAACCAGCTGCCCTCCAACTTCCCCTTTGACAGCCTAGAGACCCTCGCCCTCACCAACAACCCCTGGAAATGTACCTGCCAGCTCCGGGGTCTTCGGAGGTGAGAACAGCCCCCTGCAGCCCCCCAGAATGCGCTCTCATGGGATGAAGCGGAGATACCCTGGCCCCGCATGGAGACATCAGGGCCATATGTCCTAGATCTGCTACCTAGTAGGTGTGGGAGCCTAGGAGTTTGTCACACGAAGATGACGGTTCCAGGCCATCCTAGAGATAAGTCCATCCTGGCCCCCTGGCTCGCTGTCCCCTCCCTGGGCACTCCCACATCTCTCCCCCAAGCCCAGCGACTCTCTGTCTCTCTAGGTGGCTGGAAGCCAAGACTTCCCGCCCTGATGCCACTTGTGCCTCGCCCGCCAAGTTCAAAGGCCAGCATATCCGTGACACGGACGCCTTCCGCGGCTGCAAGTTCCCCACTAAGAGGTCCAAGAAAGCCGGCCGCCATTAAACAGGTGGGGGACGGGTGGGCAGGTCCCCCATTCCCTTCTCAGGGATTCTAGCAAGGGAGGAGGGTGTCCCCACAGAGGGGCATGCAGACCCTCCGTTTGTGTAGGGAGAGGAGGGGGAGGACAGGGGCTCGCCTTCTAAAGGGGAAAATGACACTGCCCGGGACTCCCACCATTCTCGTCAAGCCTTCTCTGGGTTGTTGGACTCCTGACACCGAACTTTGCCTCACCACAGGTCCTGACCCAGCCGGTCCTGGTGACCGGCCTCTGCCTTCAGCTGGAGAAACTACTGACCTTCCCACCTCTGACCCCCACCTTCTCCCCACAGCCTCTGCTGGCGCACAGAGCTGTCCACATCTAGACACGTCCTGGCAGGGGGACTCGGGCGCTCCAGCACGAACCCAGCTCCACCTCCTGGTGAGAGCTCCATCACGCCTGGCCCCACCGCCATGGCTCCTCTCAGAGACGCTGTTGCCAAGACCCCAAGTCCTTCAGAACCAGAACAGGGTAGCCATCAGGATGGCCACCCTTCCAGAATCCTCTTTCCCTCTGCTCCCCTTACCTTGCCATTTGGAAACAAACATCAGATCCTTGCCCCACCCTTTGCTTCCGGAAACAGTCTTGAGCCCATACCCCAACTCCGCCAGCCCCCCACCCCCCACCTGCCAGGACACTCTAGCAGGACACTGGTGCTTTGCCGCATACACTCCCGTGCTGCACTTCTTTCCCAGATTTTCATAAATATAAATTTATGTATATGTAATATTTACTCCCCTGTCACCTATTTCTTTTTTTTTTTTTTTTAAGATTTTATTTATTTATTTTTGCAAGAGAGAGAGTGAGCGAGCATGCATGAGCAGGGAGAGGGGCAGAGGGGGAAGCAGACTCCCCGCAGAGCAGGGAGCCCGATGCGGGACTCGATCCCGGGACCCCGGGATCCTGACCTGAGCCCAAGGCAGATGCTTAACTGATGGAGCCACCCAGGTGCCCCCTGTCACCTATTTCTATGATTGGCCAGCTGCCAATGAGGTCAGACTTTCTGACATCTGCTTTCTGGAATGAGGGCCAGCTGAGAGGGTCTTCCTTGGAGATCTGGTCTGAGCTCCTCCCCACACCCACCAGTTCGCACCCCAGCGCGGCCTGCCCCCTGCCCACAGCCCCAGCCCAGCCTCCCGTCCACTCACCACCAGCTCCTTCATGTTCAGCTTGTCAATGATGGCTCGGATCAGCTCTGGGGGTGCAGGGGACCCAGCAATCATACCTGAATCAGAGAGAGGACTGACGCAGCTCCCCACTTCTCCAGGCCCAGTGGACCCCCTTCACCTGCAGCTCCTTCTAGAGAAGAACATTCCCCTCTAACCCTGGACTTATTCCTACACCTAGCAACTGGCCTTGGGCTGGTGTCCAGGGACACTGAGGATTTGCCTCCCTCCCACCCACTTTTCTACAGTGAGCTTTTTGCCCCCTAAATAAAGGGCTGGGCACATATCTAGCTCAGCAATCCTGGCCTGGCCACCCTTGGCCCTATCCTACCTCCAAGCATGGCCGAGATGTCATAACTGGAGAAGTCTGGCTGGTTCAGAATGTCCACAAACATTGTGGGGGTGCCATACAGTAAGGAGCCTCTGTGTAAGGTGGGGGGGGGTGTCTCAAAATCAGGCATGGAAGGGGAAGGGAACTCCCTCTTCTCACCCATCCCACCCTGAACCTGCAGTAAGGGCCAAGGCTGCATATATGGGAAACAAGGAGAAGCTCTTTGGAGGCAGGAACTGGTCCTCCCACGGGAGTCTCCCATTACCCCTGGTCTCCATTTCTCTGGGCTGAAGGGAGGAGACATCTCCAAAAGGGATCAGGGCGCAGGAGTGAGGAATAGGAGGGTCTCATCAGCCCCTGGGGGGGCTGCCCACTGATGCCCACCTCTCTTTGCTGATGGCCTCCAGCGCCTTCTTGCCATCAAAGGTCGGAGAGGATAGGATGAGGGTGGCGCCATACATCATGCTCACCATTGTGCCCCCCACAGAACCCAGGCAGTGGTACAAGGGGCTGGGCACGACCATCCGTGATTCCTCCGGCGTCTGGGGTTGGAGGCGGGAAGCCGGTTCTATCCTGGAGCCCAAAGCCCCAGGGGCCAGTTCGTCTAGCCAGCAGGGGGAGCCCAACAAGACCCTCCCCCCCTCCCCCGCCCCCTGCAGGGCCTGGGCTAGGCCCCTCACCTTCAGGTGCATCCTCAGCCTTTCCCCTATCAGGTTGGAGTTGTTGACAATGTTGTAGTGGGAGAGGGTGGCCCCCTTGGGTCTGCCTGTCGTCCCCTGATAAGACAAGCAGGTGATGATGCTTGGCCTCCTGCTCCCCATCTCCTTCCCTGCTCTGGGCCCCTGTGTGGGAGAGCCCTGGAACAGGGCGTCAGGAGACGGGGACTATTGCCCCAGATCCATTCATTCACTGAACACGTGTTCGCAAAGGTTTAGCATGCGCCTGCACGGTGCCGGGTGTTAGGATCCAGAGGTGTGGAAGGTAAGGTCTCTGTCCTTATGCCACTCATAAGGTTGCTCAGAGGACTCTGTGGCCCACCAGCAGATTCCCACGCTGGGCCTCAGTTTCCTCATCTGCTAAATGAGGAGGCAGATCTATCAGCTCTGGCCTGTGGAGCCAGTGCATCCGGCCCTGGGCTGAGGATGAGAAGGCGAGGGGAGGGGGGCATGAGACAAGGACACCAGTGGCTGATGTGTTCCAGAGCACAGAGGACAGCTAGGGCCAGCCCCAGGAGGAGGGTGTCTGCACTCCGGACCTCCTTGGTCTCGGGCAAGGGTCACAGGGGTGGGCAGGGGGTGGCATGCCAGCCTGGAGACCTCTGCCCTACCGAGGTGAACTGGATGTTGATGGGGTCATGGCAGGACAGGAACTGCTGGTTGTACCGGAGCTGGGCCAGATGCTGCTCTTTGCCTCCAGAGGCCACCACCTCATCCAGGAGCAAGGTCCCCGGCAGAGGGTCGTCCACCGAGATGACCGTGGTCAGGTCTGGGAGCCTGGCGGTTGGGAGGGTAGCGAGAGTCAGAGCCTAGGGAGACATGAGCCTCATCCCTGAGGGTGCGGGGGCCAGGGGGCCACACCATGCACCCTTCCCAAGGGGGGACACCCTCACCTCTGACTCTTCAAGTCTCCTGGCTGGGCCTTCTCCAACTCTGGACAGATCTGCTTCAAGATGTGATAGTATTGTTGGGTCTTGAATTGCTTGGGGAAAGCGAGGGCTTTGCAGCCTACCTGTGGAGGTGGAGCCCCGCCCCCCAGCACGGTCAGCGGGGGGCTCCAGGCTGGGGCTCTGGGGTAGTTCTAACAGTTACGCTCGCTCACACACACGCACACCACCTCACCCAGGCACTTCCGCCCTGACACACACGCACACGTGCCCCCTCAACACTTGCACCAGCCTTGCGTCTGACCAACCACCCTCTCCTCCCACCCACACAGACCCAAGCAAGGACAGACTCTGGGTGTCCCCCACCTGTGCATGCCCTCCCTGACCCCCCATCAACCCTCTGGCCGTGCTGGCCAGGCCCCTCCCCTAGGAGCGGGTCCTACCTTCTTGAGGGCATACTCCAGCTCCATAGCCTGATAGGCTGGGTTCACAGAAACCTGGTGGAGACAGTAAGGGGATGTCAGTCAGTGTCTTGGCTCGATCCTGTCCCTCTCGCTGCCCCTCCGTTCTTAGGAGGCACAGAAACACCATGTGGTCGGAGGCAGTGCCCTACACTTCTGGGCCTCCTTGGGGGGCTTCAAAAGAAAGCGCTACCCTCTGGTGGTTTGGGGGCCGAGGAGCTGGGGAGTCCCCCTGAAATATGCACTCCCTACACACTCAGCTGCGCCGGGCAAGCCCCTGCTCACCAGAATGATGCCCGCCTGAGCGGTGGCCAGCTGCATGAGCACCCATGCATAGGAGTTGGGTCCCCACATGCCCAGCCGGTCGCCCTTGCAGAGGCCGATACTCAGGAGCCCAGAAGCAGCTTTGTCCACCTGGTGTAAACAGACAGGGCACGAGGGGTGAGATGCGGGCAAGCAGGAAGAGGCCCATGACTCCCACCGCAGCCCGTGGCCCAGGGGTTCCCATCAGAACCTGCTGGAAACGAGGGACAGGCAGATTCCCAGGCCGCAGTGGGCCTGGGGCTATGCATAGCTAACAAGCATCCCAGGAGGGAGCGGTGCAGGTGACATCAGGTGCAGGTGGCCCCTTCTGCCTCAGCCCTGTCCCTGCCATCCCCTGGGGTCCTCAGGCCGCCCCAGCCCCCTGCCCCACAGCCAGCTGCGGCCCCTGCAGCTCTACCCAGCCAGCGCAGCCTGGGGGCTAGCACCTGCCTACTTCGGGGGTTCAAGACAGGGACCCACCTCCTCCTTGAGCTGGGCAAAGGTCAACCTGATGTTTTCCTGGGGGACGACCAAGGCCTCTCTGTCAGGGACCCTCTTTGCTGTGGCTTCCAGGCACTGCCCCACAGTCTCGTGGATAAGACCACGTTTTGTGAGGCCCTGGACGTAGCTGAGGCCTCCAATGGGCAGGGGGATGGTGTTATCCGCCTCTCTGGAACTGTGGGGAGACAGGGTTGTGTGGAGTTGGACTCCATCGCGCCAGGCCGGGCCTCTCTGTACCCAGGGCTGGGAGGGAGGTTGCTTACAACGTGGCAGGGGCTGCTTCAGAAACGGCCCGACCCTGCCCCATCCCTGTCCCCATCCCCAGGAACCAGGACCCAGTAGAAAGGCTCAGTCATTCTGTAACTCTCAAATTGTACTCAAAACAAAACAAAACAAACAAAACAAAAACCCAAAACAAAACAAAAAACCTATTAATTATTTTATTTTATTTTTAAAATTTTTTTCCTATTAATTATTTTAAAAGCAAAAACAGAAAAGGCCCCCAGAACTAAAAGTATCACACGGTCGACTTAGGCCTGCGTGTGTTTGCTGGCCCCTCTGGGGGACAGGGGCCGTGCTCCCGCTGAGGTCTCATGGGGAGGGGTGCAACGGGTCTCAGACCCTGTTCCCATCAGAGAGGGCGTGGTGTGGGGCCTGAGGACCAATGCTGACCATGGGGCGCTGCAGCTGCCAGGCTAGAAAGACCATGTGTCTCTTCTGTTGATTGACTGCTTGGGTCTTGTGGGGGAGAATTTCTGGGAAGAACAAGGTATGCAGGGCGGAGGGGAGCAAAACGGGGTTTCCCCACAAACGGGAGAGGAGCCTGCTGCCATCTTGCAGGAGGTGGGTCACGAGGCAGGCTGACGGGGAGGCGGCTCAACCTGGCTGCTTTGGACCAGGGAGCCGAGGATGAGTCCCATAGTGGGGACACCCGCTGCAGCTCTGTGGGGAGTGGGTGAGCACCAGGCTGTCATCGGGGATGGGGGTGGGGGGGTTGGCGGGGGTGTCTGAGCTCTCATCCCAGGTTGCTGCTGGCTGGGTGGGCAACTGCCACAGACACCTTTGGTGTCCCATGTCACCCCCATGGAGCATCTCTGGTTTCTCCTTGGGATTCTGTCTGCTGCGGGGGGCTTCAATTCTCCCCTTCTGCAGCTGGACAGATCTGGGAGGCGTTTGTCCCTTCTCAGAGGTCCTGGTGGGTCAAGCCCTTGCTGCCTTGGCTGTGACCTCGACAACACTCTGTGCTAGCTTCTCTTCCGGTCTCTTGCTCCTCACTTCCGCTTCCAGCAGTACCGACCACGCACAGTCCTCGTTCCCGGGGGAATCCAAGTAAAGACGCAGGGTTTCTCCTCCCTAGGCCTCCGCTTCCCCACCTATGAATAGTTTGAGGATTGGACACACTGGTTATTCTCAGGTGAAAGGGGATATTATCAGGGCACCTGGGTGGCTCAGTCGTTGAGCGTCTGCCTTCGGCTCAGGTCGTGATCCCAGGGTCTTGGGATCAAGCCCCGCGTCGGGCTCCCTGCTCCGCTGGAAGCCTGCTTCTTCCTCTCCCACTCCCCCTGCTTGTGTTCCCTCTCTCGCTGTCTCTCTTTCAAATAAATAAATAAATCTTTAAAAAAAAAAAGGGGGGGGATATTATCTAAATGATCTGGTTTATCTTCTCTTTCTTTTCTTCTTTTTTTTTTTTAAGATTTTATTTATTTGACAGAGAGAGACACAGCGAGAGAGGGAACACAAGCAGGAGGAGTGGGAGAGGGAGAAGCAGACTCCCCACGGAGCAGGGAGCCCAATGCGGGGCTCGATCCCAGGACCCTGGGATCATGACCTGAGCCGAAGGCAGACGCTCAACGACTGAGCCACCCAGGCGCCCCTTCTTTTCTCTTTTTTAAAAAAATTTTTTAATCCTTTTTTTTTTTGGTCAGAGAGAGTGCGAGCACAAGCAGGGGGAGCGGCAGGCAGAGGGAGAAGCAGGCTCCTTGGGAGCCCAACGTGGGATTTGATCCCAGGACCCTAGGATCGTGACCCGAGCTGAAGGCAGATGTTCAACCGATTGAACCACCCAGGCGTCCCTCTTTTTTTTAAAAAATAGGCTCCACGCCTAGGGTGGAACTCATGACCCTCAGATCAAGACCTGAGCTGAGATTAAGAGTTGGACAATTAACTGACCAAGTCACCCAGGAGCCCAGACCTGGTTAATCTTTTTAAAGGACTGTGGTGAGCCACCTAGGCCACGTAGTTCCTGCAGGTGAGCTGGGGCAGGAAACAGCCCAGAAAGCAGGGCTTTAAGGTCCCATGAGGCCCCACACCCCTATCGTCCACAGGCTGACAAACCTAAAGAACTGTTGAGCAGATTCCCAATGGTCACTATGACACCCCTCAAAAGGGATCGCATACCCCAAATCCCTACCTCACAGGCATGCAGTCGAGGGCGTGCATGTATGCCCACTGGGAAACAAGCATGCTCTTTTTCTTGGGGTTTGCCAAAGTGATGGTTGTAAGAACAAGCATGTGGAGAGAACCTGCTTAAGAACAAACTGAACACAGGGCTAAGTAGGGAGAGAGAGACAGAGACAGAGACAGGAAGACACAGCAACAAACTTCATCGTAAGGTTTTGAATCCCTAGGCCCAGCCACATGTGATGTCTACCTTCCTCTGGACTTTTCACTGCCAAAAGTCAATACATTCCCTCTTTAAATTTAAGCCAGTTTTTGGGGGAAAAAAGCCAAATTCCATTTGTAACAACAAGGATAAAGCTGGAGGATGTGATGCTAAGTGAAATAAGCTATATGCAGAGAGACAAATATTGCATGATTTCACTTATACGTGGAATCTAATAAATGAGCAAACAAAGAATAATCTGCTTTTATTTGCTTACAGCTGGCACATCCTAATATACCTACATTTTTCACATTCAGTGGATGACCAGGGCCCTCGAAGCCCTGGCAGGCGGCCTCCCATAGCCCAGCATTGGGATCAGGAGGCAGCAAAGGGCAAATCTCAGCCACCTTAATGGTTTTGTTGTCAACAGAGCCTGACAACAGGCTTCCTCTTATTCTCACAGTGACCAGGTGTCCTATTTTGTTTTGAACCTGGGTTCCTCCTCATTTGCTGTGGATTTCAGACCAGACGGTATCCTTCTGGAAATTCTAGTTGGTAAGTCAACAGGTTGATTTATGTGCAAAAAATAAATAAATAAAATAAACAAAAAAACCCAAAACAAACAAAACCGAAAACAGAAAAGAAGTCCATTTCAGTTGTCACGTGTATTACATCCCTTATCTTCACGGCAGCTCTGACAGGTGCTGCGACAGAGGCCCCCAGTAAGCCTTGGTCCTAAATAAACCACCCTCTGGGTGTTCAGCTGGCCTTGGCCACGTGGACTCCAGACCACATTCCCAAGCTTCCGTCGAAGGTGCTCTGGCCAGGGAGATCTACAGAGAGGTACTGTGTGCAACTTCCCTTACCGGGAAGGAGCATCTTCTCTTTGTTCTTCACTGGCTGGAATGTCATCTGGAAGAGAATGGCAGCCATCTTGGGCCACCTGGTGCGCTCAGACACCGCAGAGCTGACGAGGCTGGAGCTGGACAGCAGGGCCACGGGTTGGCCATCTCCCAGAAAAAGAAACTCCCATCTCCTCGAAGCCACGGTGAGAGGGGATTTCTCTGACATACACTAAGCAAATCCTGAGAAGTGCAAGTGGGCAGCATGAACTCCCATTCTCCAGGTAAAGAAAGTGGAACGCAAAGAGGCCAAGTGGGCTCCTCGGGCTGGTAGTAGCTGGATCTGCAGCGGAGGACCCTCCCCCCCAAACAAATCGGGGAGAAAAAGTGCGTGGGCAATTCTGTTCTTTAGGCTTTGGATGTATCCCCCAGATTGTTGAATCTCCATTTTATTTTTTTCCCCAATTGTTTACTAATTGATGTCAAGAAACGGGGATTGGAGCAGGGCAGGACTGAAGTGGACACAGGCCACTCCTCCAAAGGACTTAAGAGACCTAGAAACTCTGGATGAATGCCCTTTGCTCATAAACATAAGAACCACCCATCGTTTTGAAACCCCAAGTGCAAACAGAGTTGATTCTACTTCCCTCCTTCCTCAAACACACCCCAAAGGCCTTGGGCAAAAAGAGGGAGCCACTGTTTTTTCTGTTCTTAAACAAAGTGGCAGACATTCCATCTAACCCTGAAAAAAACACTAGAGATGTGCTTTGGGGACAAGTTGTGGTTTTCGTTTGTTATCATTATTTTTTTTAATTTGGGTGGGAAGCGTAAGGAGTTGGAAAAGAGCCAGCAGTCCCTATGGCTCCTAACTCAAAGAACTAAAGTCCGAGAGTCCTCCCCTCATCTGCAGTCACCCACGGTGAAGCAGAGGAACCTCCTTCTGACATTTGGTCAGACGATCAATAGTAGCCTAACGCTGCGTCCCATGCCGACGTCATTCACTCGTTTCACCTCATCATGCAGGCATTTATATCGTCTCATGTCCTCGCAGAACGGTGAGTATAAGAGAATAAGATATTTTGAGAGCACATTCACCTAATTTTTATTATAGTATATTGTTATAATTATTCTGTTATTATTGTTGTTAATCTCTTAGGTGCCTAATTGTAAATTAAACTTTCTCATCAGTATGTATGGATAGGAAAAAGCTTTGTATATATGGGCTTTGGTACCAGCTGTGGTTTTAGGCACCCACGGGGGCTCTTGGAATGTATCCAAGATCTCCATGGATAAGGAGAGACTACTGTCAATATTTAGTGAGGCCTTCAGCTACTTGGGTTGGGCATCGGAAAACATATGAATCAGCCAGGTGGGAGCCATGAACTAGAGACAAAGCCCCACCTCGAAGGTGCCCTCAGAGAGTTGGCACTTGAGAATTCAGGCCCGCATCTGCTGTCAGGAACCGAGGGTTTGTTTTTTGGTTTTTTTGTTGTTTCTTTGTTTTTGTTTTTGTTTTTAAGAATTCTCTTGACCTTTTATTGTTGGCAACTAATGTGTTCACGGTTTTATCCCCAGTCACTAAATTTAGTTTATGAATCATAAGTAGAGCAACACTAGCTTAAGCCATAGGAGAGTTTTCTTTTAAACTCTGTATTGAAGTATACCTCCTTATAATTCCTTATGTGTATTATTTGGTGACACCTGGAACGTAAGAGGTGCCTGGAACGTAAGAGGTGCTCAGTGGAATGACCAAATGA